AGAGGAGAAAGTATAGCACAGAATAAGAAGAGGTGTCAAAAAAAAAATCCTTGTGTTTCTGGGGTGGTACGGACTCCTTAAGCTTGAGAGTGGCTGCCTTGTAGTGCCCCCTTGCCCAGGTAAGCGGGGCTGGTAGGAAAGGAGAGCACCCAGGACATGGGTGCTTTGCAACTAGTTATGTTTCCAGGCAACTGTTTTGTGAATGGGCAAGGCCTCCATTTTGCAAAGCACCCAGAAAAAATTTCGAAACTCTGAACTGTCCATCTGGCCAAAGAGGTTGGGGGCCTCTGAGAGTCAAGTAGAGTTTCCCTCTGTGGTCTAAATTACAACTCCCAGCCTCCAAAGGTTCAGATGAAGCTTATTCAGCACACAAACACACCCAGGCAATCAGCTCTCAAGGGAGGCAACATCTTCTAGTTTTCAAATAATGGTCCAGCAGAAATGTCTGGAAATCCCTTAAATATATTTACTGGAAAATAAACAGTGGAGTGAGCTCTCTTGCTCTTCAGGTGGCAGTATTTCAGCACCAGTGTTTCCAGCTTGATCCACATCCCACCTCATTGAGGTCTGTAGAACCTGAGGGAAAAGAGCAAAACCAAGCTCCAAATGCTGTTGCTGTTATTTAATTAATTGAAGGTCCAAGACCAAACTCAAACATTCAACTACTCTTGTTTGCCAGTTCAGCACAACCCAGGAGAGAGAGAGTCTGACATGTGGCGTTTGGGGCACTTGCCTTTGCCCTGTGGGAGTGGAAGTCTACCTTTGTAGCCGAGATGTTGCACGTACCCTTTCGCCCTTGGAAAGCTTTTAATCCTCCCCCATATCAATGTTTTTCTTTTGAGTAGATGGCAGAAATCATTGAGGTGTCACGGGGATCAACACTGGAACTCCAGAACCAGCTTGACGAGTACAAGGAGAAGAATCGGCAGGAGCTGGTAGATTCACAGCAGCAGCTGAAGGACAAAACCCTGGAATTAGAAAAGACCCGCCAAACAGTCCTCAAAATGCAAGAGGAGGTAATGACGCCTGACTGGCATTCGTAAACCAGCCTGCCTGCCTGTCTGCCCCCCTGCCTCCCTGCCTCCCTGCCT